CCCTAAATTCTGAATTTCTGTCCGCGAGCTGAGACTGCCACATACGTCATTCAAGATGAAGCTACCCGGGGCCAACATCGCGTCTTCTCCGTCCACGTTTTACGTGGCAGGCTTGTTCCAAGCAGCACATCTAAGCCTTTACAGTTTTTCCACAAAACTCCAGTTTGTTTGGGGCTCTTTTAAAAGTTTATTTTTTTTAAACCGGTCAAGTCTTTCGTGTCCTATTAAAAAAGTCAAACCTTCGAGATGACTTGTGTCTGGTCTCTTCTTTCTCCCTGTGCCTCCTGTCTCTGTGTCGGTCTTCTTTCTCTCTGCTCGTTCTATGGCGGTCGTAGCCTCGTTCTGCGTAGTCTCTGTATCTGTATCGCTCCTCATCACTGATTAAAAAAGAGAAGATATTTTCAGGACAGCGACACCAAGCAGCATATATATAAAAAAAAATACATTTTTACACATTCTCAAGATAAATGATAGAAATGATAAATGATAGATTGGGTTTCTAAACAAGATCCACAGCGTATGTTAAAAGGACATTAAAGCTCTTCACCTTACATGCTAGACTGCTGTGGTCAATGCCATTTTGAAAGGGGACTGTTCAACAAAAATGGAAGGAAAAAATATCACCACAGTGTCACACGAAGTTTATCCAGCAGTTATCCAGCACTTAGCTTAAACCTGTATCTAGCTGCGAAGGAACTACAACCCTGCACAGACTTCAGTAATGTTTGCAGATCGGCGTGTGTAACGCTCAGCACTTGCCAGCACAGTTTTTGACTGTTACACCATTTGGGTACACGAAATAAAATTGTTGATCTATTTCCCTACTCCACCTTCAAGAAAGGAAAAGCTAGGTGCAGAGAGACTGACAGCAAAATACAGTCACCGTTTCGGGTTGTTTTTAAAAGCAGTTTCTCTCCGACGCCCGTGTTCTCTCTACTTCCACTCCTCTCTTTGGTTACCACGAGCGCTGCCCTGCTGATATAAACCCCTAAACACTACAGGCTATACAAGAACGTAAAGGTTTTACTTAAGAACGTAATGTCATATTTTGACTTCATGAAAAGGGCAGTCAGTTCTAAGGGTTTAGTGAAATGACAAAAAAAAGAGCAGTATCTATAGTCAGCCAACACCACGCACACGCCACATCAGCGTAGCTTAAAAAGGCATGCTCATTTTAACATGTCTCTACCAAGAAAATCCTACCCAGATACGGTGTCTAGTATCTTTTAACGAGACTTCAACACACATGAACTTACTGTATCTATTCATATATCACACAAAGTCTTCGTAACCATAGTTTGGAAGATCCCTACCAAGCCCTAAAGAAAGGCACAAGGTGACCAGGCTTTCTGGGGCGGTAATTCACACTGGTAGCGATTTAGATACCATTCAGCTGACAAAGCCAAGGGTTTTGCTCTTTCCATCTTTGCCAACATTTACCGTAAGAGACAGTTTCTTCCCGCGATCCCTGACCAGATAAAAAACTGTTCCAGTTACAAACTGAAGCAGAGGAAGCTCCAGCTGAACAGGAGGAAGAACTTCTTCCCTCCGAGGGCGACGGAGCCCTGGCCCAGGCTGCCCAGGGAGGTTGTGGAGTCTCCTTCTCTGGAGATATTCAAGACCCACCTGGACAAGGTCCTGTGCAGCCTGCTCTGGGTGACCCTGCTTCGGCAGGAGGTTGGGCTGGGTGACCCACAGAGGTCCCTGCCAACCCCGACCAGTCTGTGATTCTGTGATTCAGCTGCCACAGATCACACAAGGAGAACAGCTCCAGCCTAAAGAGATTTCTCATGTCCCGGAGCAGTTAAGAACTTGGAGCAAAACAATTTTATCTGCCATAACTTGGATCCTGGGGCCACTGCTCAAGTGAGGATATTACATTAGTGATTGTTACAGCTATGCAGGAAAACCCAGAGCGAGCAGGGGCAATGGCACTAGGCTTTCTGTGAAACGCTGTATGATTGTACCATGAAGCAAGTCTCAAAAATTAGCAATTTAAGACACTGTAGGGAAGCATCAAACACAGAGAAGAAAATCCTGGTTTTCTAAGGGACATTAAAACTATTCACATGTGAAAATCAGGAAAACTCTAGCTATCAATAAAGCACTCACAGTTACGATTTGTCACTAAGCAATACGATGGCATCTGAGAGCGAGCTGATCATCACTGCACATTTGTGACGGACGACAGCAGGGTTGAGGCTGGAAGGCACGATGACTGGACGTCCTCTGGTCCAAACTCCTGCTCGAGCGGGGCCACCAGGACCACGTCCAGACAGCTTTTGGGTATCTCCAAGGATGGAGACTTCACCACCTCCCTGGCCAACGTGTGCCAGTGCTCGGTCACCCTCGCAGGCGTTACGCCACTATCACTTCTCTTAACTATTGTCCCCCTCTTCAGACAATACCGAAATTCAACAGGATTAAATGTGTTTTTTAAAGACTGTGTTAAAGCTAACGTGTCTCTCTCACAAGCAAACCCTACAACAGAGACACAGGGACTGGAGCATCTCTCCTACGAGGACAGGCTGAGGGAGCTGGGCTTGTTCAGCCTGGAGAAGAGAAGGCTGAGAGGGGACCTTAGCAATGCCTACAAATATCTGCAGGGTGGGGGTCAGGAGGACGGGGCCAGACTCTTTCCAGTGGTGCCCAGCGAACGGACAAGGGGCAATGGGCACAAACTGAAGCAGAGGCAGCTCCAGCTGAACACGAGGAAGAACTTCTTCCCTCTGAG